GATCACCCTCAACGTGCATTTCAGAGTCCATCTTAGCTGTTAGAATTTGTTTGTCAATGCTACACTCAAGAGCACAAGAAGGGGGGGGGGGTAAGTGCCTTTGTTCTCTATGTCATTTGATTCCCATGGGTTGTGGACATACCAAGAGAATTATTGCATGTTTAGGTGATGAAAGTTCAGCAAAGCTTAGATTTTGTTTCAAGGTTCTTGAAAGCTAGGAATGTTAGGACAACAATTTGATTGTGTGTAGGATCAAGTAGCAAGCTAAAATATATTGTTTGTATTGAGTTTGAAGTCATTGAATGATGGAAATAATGGTCTTTAGTTTTATATCAATACTGAAATGTACCTTCCATGTTGAAACATGTTCAAAACACTGTTGTAGGAGTAATGATCATGCTGAAACCTCACTTCTCTTATGAATTCTTAGGTTCATGAGGTTAATCTCTAAGCTGAAATGAATAGTAGTTTGTTTGTATTTGAAACATGGATTGACTTGGGAAAATGCACATGCTGTAATTACGCTTTTCATCATATTTTAAGGAGCAATATGTGAATAACAATGTGTTAGATGACATATTTAGTTGCTGAAATAATGTATGCAAATTTGTTTTTGAAACATGACATGCTTTAGGGACAATATCTTTGTTGATATGTGTTAAGATGATGAGAAACCAAATTATGTAATCTGTAACATTAGGATTCACATATTCAGGAGAACAAAATTTTAACTTAGAAAAATCAATAAATCATTCTCAGATTAGCAAGTAGTTTCTTGTAAATTGTTTTCCATGAACTTTATAGTCCTTCAACCCTTCCTTGTGTTCTAGTCTTGTTTGTTGATCAAGTAAATCTAATTTGTTTCCTAGAAGCCAAGATAAATTTCAAACTGGGTTGTATTTGCGACTAAGGAGAGGGGTGCCTAACCCTTTCCCTCCCCTTATTCAAAGAACTCTTGAATTTCTGTTTCTAGGCTGGTGAAAGAGTGGAGTCCCTATTTGTCTAAAAATCTGATCCATTTAACTTGAAAAGAGGACCCATTTCCTCTTAGGCAAAAATGGGTGGCAACTCTATTGGGTTGGCCATGAGCTTTTTGGAGCTTACAGTTGTAGCTAAGGGTGTTAATTGGATTGGATTTGGTCCAATTTGATATAGTCCAATGTGAGTTCATTACAAATGGACCAGGTTCAATCAAGGTTCAGAATATCGGTATAGGGCGATACACTGATAGGGCTTATCAGCCTGTATCGGTACTATTTTTTTTGTTTATTTCTTTAATTTTTTTTTTCCAAATTTGGTCTAGAGGGGCTGGTCTACCCCCTAAACCACTCACCGACCCGAAACACCCCTTGTAGGGGCGTGTCGGGATGACTTTGATATGATACGTATCGGTCAATATGGGCCGATATGTGACGATATTTTGAACCTTGGGTCCTATCCAATCCAATGAACATTTTTGACTTGTCCAATTTAATGTCTGGACTGTCCAATCTATTCAGATTTGTTTTAATTTAGATTAATTTTAACCCAAACCTAGTCCATTGACATCTATATTCTTCTATCGATGGACCAGATATTGGCTCAATCCAACCCAATCCAATATAAATTCATTACGAATATTATGAACCAGGTCCAATCTAAATAAATACTTAGGACCATTAAGTCTGGACTAGTCCAATTCAATATGTCTTATTGGTCCATCCAAATTGGTTTTGGTTTGAATGAGATCCAATCCAAAACTGGTCCATTGACACCCCTACTTGTAATGGAGACTTGGGGTCTAATTCTGCCTTCATTAGGGTGAGTCCAAATTTGTTGTCCATAGGGCAGTGTTATACCAAGCTATATTTCCAATCATAGGAGTGAATACACCAGTGTTCTTTACACTTGAAATTCATATAATAGCATATCCCAATGACAACGCCATCCGAGTTTGGAGAACGGGCTTAATATGGACATGCTTGCAATTAGTAGATTCAGACGCCACCAAGGCTTTGAGGATAAATGGAATCTAAATCTATGCAAAGACAAGTGTGTGAATTTGGATACACGATCAATCATGAATGGATACGCCAATATTCCATTCACCCGGTCACCAACAGGAGCGTGGATTTGCTGTGCACATGTTATGAACAAAACATCCACAAGCACATTGTGTGGCACCCACCAAAATTTAATCAAATTAAGATAAATCTTGATGCATCCTGTTCAATAAATGGGATGTGCTCGGTTGCAGCCATTGTTAGAAACTACCTGGGTGAGGTTGTAGTCTTATAGATTACAAAGCTTACATCTTGGGCTTTACATTCATCAATTTCTTTGAAGCTTGGGTACTGCTTGGGAGGCCCATAATTTGGTGGTGAATTTCATCAGCAATGCTATTATCATCAATGGTGATTCTTTGGTTATAATTTCCTTCCTGAAGTGCATCATTGACCCCCTTGGAGACTAAGGAATCTTGGATTTGAAATTGCGTATGAAGGAAGAGGTTCAATACATGCACGTGTATTGAGAGACCAATCAAGTAGCGAACTGGTTAGCAAATGCAGCTCTCTTGTCGTCTCAAGGCTCCGTTCATCTAAATCTTAACATGCTCCCATGATCCCTGGCTTTTATTTGTATTAGTGATATAAGGGGATGTGATACCCCCGTCGTGTGTGTGTGTGTTAAAAAGAGTTTAGTGGTAGTTATCATCACTAAAATTAAAAAAAAAATAAAAACTCATTTTCAATGATTGTAGGATTATACCAATCGAGGGCTGGCTTGTTGGTGTATTAGCTGGTTTGTTTCAACATTGATGCGGAATCAAATCTCGCAACTAACACTTTGGGGAAAAAGGGGTTAGGGGGAAGTTGTTAATGGTGCATAGCACCAAATGCCAAAAAAAAATCACCATGCCTCTCTTTCCCTCGGTTACCCCAACCTTGCATTGTCCTTGACTCTCTCTCTCTCTCTCTCTCTCTCCCCTAAGAGTGTTCCTCTCCTATTGAGACGTCTCCTCACTAAAATCACTATCTCCTAAAACCTTACACACTCTTAATTTATTGTTCTTAAAACTCTCTCATACTCCCTAAAACTTCTCCTCATTCCTAAAATATTGCTCATAACCATTTTATACATTTAACATCACTACTTTCCCATTTTATACATTTTATATATATGATCCATTTAATTAAAGTGGTGTGGTTTATTGGATTGGAGGGTATGGTTTGGTTTTCATTAATCCAACCCAGTTTTGATCCGTTTACTTTGAATGGTATATTATAATTAATAATTTCATTTTATTTAATTATAACTCATACCAAAATAAAATAATTATTTTTGTGGTAAATTAAAAATTCCCAAACAATATTACTACTTTCAATAATTAATAATTTTCATTTTATTAATAATTTTGGGATTAATTACTAATGTTGTCAACAATTTACTAATAGCTTAGCAAAATTAATTAATTATTTTCAATATTAATTGGAAAATACCAAAATTCACTTAAAATATATTATTTATTTCTATGATATATTAAAAATTACCTAAATTTAATACCAAAATATATTATTAATTTTATTAATTAATATTAATGATATATTAATAATTCATGATTAATTAATTAATGATATATTACAGACAACTTAATTAATTACCATTTAAAAATTAATTATTCTTTCATGAATAGTTAAACTAGTTGTTATTACTTTTAATAATAGTAATGTTTTTTATAAATTAACAATTATAAAATTTATTAGTTCATAATTAAGAATTATTAACTATAATTATAAATTTATTAATAATTTTTTAAGTATTAATTATAAAATTTCAAAATAATTGTATATTTTTTTATGAATAATTAAAAAATACCATAAAATATTACCACTTTTAGTAATATTACTAATATTACTATTAATAACTATAAATTAAAATTAGTGATAAGGACCCTACGATGCACAGTTTTGTTAAAAGAATTTGAGGCAAAAGGAGCTAGGGTTGTACCTTGGGTTGGGTGGGCCTTGCTCAAGCCTAACCCAGTTGAACCCAAGTTTGGCTTGAGTTTTTAAACTTTAAGTTAGGTTTAGGCCGAAAAACTTAATGCTAACCTAAACTCAAATTGGGCTTGGGTTGAAGCCTTAGGTAACTTGAGCTCGACCCAACCCAATTTGAGCCCATGCCAAGTTCATGATATACGTATCTACATATTATCAATATGTTCTACCTGGAAATTGGGCTATGGAGCTCAATATGCCCAAACTCATGTCTAGCCCAAGATGTTGGTTAAGGTCGAGTTGGACCTGAGTTGGTAAACTTGGGCTTAACCTTGGATTGATAAAATCAGGCCAATGTTAGTAAATTATCGGTAATTATTGTCATTTTATTTTTGTTTTATATTACTAAATTTTCAATAATTATTGAAATTACCAGTAAATTTTCTCTTACCAACCTAGCCCTAACCGAAGTTTTATCCCAAATGTTAGGGGGAGGGGGTTCAAATTGATCCATCTGGCTTGAGCTTCACAAGGCATTCAAACTGCACCCCTAACTCCTTTTGCCTCAAGTTATTTTAACAAAACCCGTAATGGCACGAGTCCCCGCTAGAGCGTAGAGGACTCGAAACTCGTAACAACATAAAGAATTCAGCTTAAATCAAGGCAAAGCCCGTTCGGACAGTTTTTACCGCGAGAATATCTCCATACTTATATACTTTATTTCATGGGATAATATTCCCAATATAAAGTTGCAAAAAGCTGTTAGAATGGACCACAGATTTGCCCTGATAGAAACCGATCTCCAGCGTAGAGGGGAGATACTCGAAACTCGTAAGCCCATTAAGATAACCAACAGTAATGAGGCTGTAGTAGAGTATAGAGGGTTGAAAAATTAAAAAAATAACTAACCCGTCGCAGATATTGATTTCCATAAAGAAAGAGATGAGGTGGGCTTTTACGTGTCGCACTCACAACCTGCATTTTATTTCTTTGCATATAAGAAGAAGAAATGGGCCGGCCGAGTTCTCTCAAAACCCACAATCAAAAACCAGCGCACGCCTCTGTTCTAGACTACTCCAAACGAACCCACGTTCACAGCAGTACACACGACGAGACTGAGAGGTTTTGCAGAAAATTAAAACATTCATGATTCTTCCATCCAAAACGTAAAAATGGAAATCTGAAATAGTGAAACTTCTCCATTTTCAGATCATCACAAAACGAGATTGATCGTCTCTAGAATCTCAAAATTTCTTGTCTTTGGTAGAGGTGAAATTATCGATCCTCAGTGAATTTTCCTTGCTTCGTAGACTCAATGATCTGTTTTGCTTTAATATTCCGGTCTCCTTCACTCTCTCTCTCTGGTTTATTTTTGTTTGACGGAGAAACGGTTTGTCGTTCTTTACTATTCAAGATCACTCGTCACTGAGCTTGAATTCATTACATCTTTTTGGTCAGCACGCTCCAATTTTGGGTTGTTGGACTAAAATATAACTTACTTTATGTACTGATGTTTACGATAGATACCTGCATTTGGGTTGTCATCGTTTTTGCAGCTTCATCAAAAGAATATTTGATTAAGTTGTAATAAGGAGAGTTTTCAAGTTTCGAGCACAGGACTGGCTCAATTTGTTTTGGTTAATTGTACTGCTTGCCCATCCTCGATTAGATGAGTAGAACTGCTTAGTTGTAGTGATTAGAATCTACCTGTTATGCAATTTCACTGGAATCATGGACTGTTGAATGCTAAGCTATTGATTGCTAAGAATGCCTTTTATCTAATTCATGTCGTTTGCAGGGTTATGTGATGTTGGGGAGATAGGGTGATATGAAAGCCGAATGCTTCCAAGGCCTATTTACTGTAACTTGTCACCAAGGGTATATCAAAACGAATTTTAACAGCCAGTGAGGCTATAAGTAATGAAATGGGACATGCAATGAGTAGGCTTGAACTAGATGCTGAGGCTGAGCTATGTGATGGTGGGAATACCTCCAATATGGCTTGTGAGAGTCATTTTGTTTGTCGGGGAAACAAAGAGCCATTATTTCATCTTGATCATGGAATTGCTCATCTCACCAAGCTTAGATCACGACCCCATGAATTCTTGAGTCATGTGGCACCTGGTAGGAAGGAGTTTCCTGTCTCTGTGGTGAAGATGTTAGCTGGTCGAGAAGGTAACTATTCTAGGAGAGGAAGATTCTCTTCAGCTGATTGTTGTCATATGCTCAGCAGATATTTGCCTGCAAAAGGTCCATGGAAAGTGGACAAGATGAATAGCCGAGCTTATGTTTCCCAGTTTTCTGCTGATGGTTCCATTTTTGTTGCTGGGTTTCAGGTATTGTCTTGACTGCCTCTAAGTTGTGATCAGTTCTGGGAAAAGCAGAAAATTAGATAACATGTTTTTTCTGTGTTAAGTTTTTCTTTAATGGCAATTGGCCAATATAAAATCTGTACATATTTTCTTTTTCTAAACAGGGAAGCCACATTAGAATATATGACGTGGATAGTGGATGGAAAGTTCAGAAAGATATTCTTGCAAAAAACTTGCAATGGACTATAACTGATACATCTCTTTCCCTGGATCAGCGCTATCTTGTAAGTTAGTGTGAGTTATATTGAGTTGTGCCTTGAATTCTTATTGCAGCCTGTTCCATGACCAACCCGATAGTTGTGGGGAATAACCTGAAGGGAAAGTTTAATTGAGGTCTGTGGTGGATGTATGGGTTCTACCATAACATCTTAGCTCAAATAGCATAAGATGAATATAGAGCAACAAACCCTATGAGCGCTAACATAACATAACGCTTATGTTTGGTAAAATGGGCATTTCTTGGGGGGTGTTTATCAGATAAATGCCACTTTAAATGTTTTCTGTTATTGTTGTTTGGTTGGGCTTTTTGTGGGCGCTTCAAGAAACAGTCCATAAAGGCACTTTCCAACTCAGCAAAGATAGACATTTCCTCATCTTTTGCTGTTTGAAGGGCATTTCAAGAAATGGCCATATGGGTGATTTGGTGTTGCACCTTTCCTTGATATTTGGGTGCCATTGAATCGATCCAATGGTCCAAACTACCCTTGCTTGCATATTTTGAGATCCAACAGTTGATTTTGGTTGGAAATCACATCCAATGTTCAAAATGACTGGTATAGGGGATGTATGTGTGTGTGGCATTTATTTCTTACATTGAAATAAAAATTGTCCATCAATAATGAAGGCCAACAAAGAAATTTTTATGTCTTAATTCATGCATTTTTGGTTTATTCGCATAAATCTTGTTTTGTGCATCCAGATCTCAGGGTCGACAGCAGGAAGAAGAGCGCAGATGGTCTGTGAACAGGGGAAACTCGTGGGAAGAAGTAATAGATCGACCAAAAAAACGTCAATATGAACTAGCTTACTAGAAGAAAACAGAAAGAGTAGAGGGTCTCAGGGTCGATGGTGGTCTTACCGGTGCCAACGAATAGGAGAATAGTATATCTCAGGGTTGACGGCGGGAAGAAGACCGTAGATGGTTTGTGAACAGGGGAGACTTACAGGAACAAGTAATAGATCTGCAAAAAAACAAGTCAATATGAATTAGCTTACCAGAAGAAAACGAAAATGGTAGAGGGTCTTAGGGTCAACGGCGGTCTTACCGGCGTCAACGAATGGGAGAATAGTAGACAACAGCGGTAATTTTTTCTTTAGACGAAACGATGGCGCAGGGTTCTCTTCAAATGTGTTAGGGTGTCTGGAAAAAAGGTATAAGTAATATACTGAGTTTCGTGGTCTGCAATGCATCGGATCTGTTGTAATATGTTATGTTCTAGCGTGGGGGTGTTTCTGGTATTTCCTCTTTTATTTTGTTATAACCTGTCGCCCTAAGTATAAATACAAACTTAGGTGCTGCCAGCCTACTACTTCAGAATAGAATTCTTCTTCTTCTTCTCTCTTCCTTCTCTCCTTCTATTCTTTTTATCTTTTGTGGACTACATGGTATCAGAGCGCTGATCTAGGCATAAACTTCTCAGATTGTATTCTCCATCTGAAACTTTGTTCTTTGATTGGAAGAGGAAGTGAAGACTCCATTGGACTGAGCTAGCCTTTCAGTCTTCGTTTTTTTTTTCCTTTTCTCTCTTGGTCATTGTACCAAGAAGAGGTTTGTGGTGGCAGCCGAGTGCAGTAAGCAGTATCTCTAGGGTTTTCTCCTGGTTTTTTATGGATTGTAGGTCGTGGAATTACTATTGTACTCCAGGTATGTACTGTTACATTCATATTTTAGTGCATGACTGCTGTGAATGTCATAGTTTGGGGTTGTAGGGGCTGGTTGTCTCATTTTTCCTATAAGCTGAAGTGTTTTGGATAGGGTTTATTGACCTACAGTCCGACTGAACCTGTTTTTTGGAGCCTTCTTAAGCTACAGTGCTGTATCTTGGTTAGTGTGTTACAATCTAGCTGGTTTGCCTTCCTTTTGTACCGATAACAGTGCTGTAGAAGTACAGAACTTCTTAGTCCTTTTTTCTTGGAAATCGACAGTAAAACATTGGGAAAAATGGCTACTAAGGATTCAGCAACCTCTGGTATTTCTTCCCATCAAGGAAACCTTAATAGGGGAATGGACGACATGAATTTCTCTATGTCTACTACCCCCTTTGATGGCCTAAATTATTTGCAATGGTCCAAAGGCATCAAACTTTATATCACAGCTAGGGGGAAAGCTGGTTACATAAGTGGAAAGATTAAAGAACCAAAGTCTGGTACAGCTGAACATGATAGATGGGATCAAGAAAATAACATGTTTATGTCATGGCTGTTAAGTTCCATGTTGCCTCATGTAAAGAAAAACTTCATATGGGCTGATACAGCTTGTGAGATTTGGAAATAGGCCAAGGCAACCTATTCTAAAGATAGGAATTTTGCTAAGATTTATTAGCTCCAAGAAGAATCATTTACTTGTAAGCGAGGAAACCGTAGCCTATCTACATACTATTCAGCCCTTACCTCTGTATGAAAGGAGCTGGACTATTATCAGACTATTGAGTGGAAGAATGATGAGGATTAAAAGCATATAAAAAACTTGTCCCAACAATGAGTGTATGCTTTTTTGTTGGGGCTGAATCCTGTTTATAAACCTCTTCGGGTACAGATTTTATGAAGTAGGGAACTTCCTTCAGTTCAAGAGGTATATGCCTTCAGTTTAATATGAAGAGAGCAGAAAAAATCTAATGAATGTTTATGAGGGGGAGCAACTTGTTGCCCTGGCTACAAGAGGGGGCAACATTGGAATGAAAAAGGGAGAATCAAGGAAAAATGATGACAAAGACAAGCTGTGGTGCACTCACTACCAAAAGCCTAGACACATTCAGGAGATTTGCTGGGAGTTAGTGGGGAAGCCCAAGTGGGCAACCAAGAATCAAGACACTTCAAAGAAGCCTTCTCAGAAGAAATTTACTTCTACAAAGATGGCTACATAAGATTACCAATCAAATACTCTGACTACTGGAATTTCCCAAGAGCATCCTAGTGGTTATGATCCCAAGGAAGACATCATTAACTCATTCAGAGATAATTTGGAACTGTATGGTAGGACTCTTGGACAGATGGATAGGTTGGCTCCTACCCCTTCTACTTCATTTGCTTCTACATCAGGTAAAGGTGCTTCTTCATTTCATGTGTGTACCTCTGCTCCCGAGTCACATTGGATTATTGACTCAGGGGCATCAAACCATATGACTGGTAAGTCAAATTTATTTTAGACCTACACTCCTCTTTGGGAGGGATAAAGTGAGACTTGCTGATGGGTCTCTGTCCACTATTGTTGGTCAGGGATCTATATCCCTTTCTGATGGCCTTGTTTTACCCCATGCCCTTCATGTTCCTAAACTTCATATTAATTTGTTTTCCATAAGTAGTATTACTCAATCCTTAAACTATTGTGTGACTTTTTTTCCTCATTCTTGTGTTTTCCAGGATTTAGCCTCAGGGAGGACGATTGGTAAAGGAGATATGGTTGATGGCCTCTACATTTTGGAGAATAAAGCTGGTCTTGCAGCACCAGCTCCTGTTTGTCTTATGAGTCAGTCTACAAAAAGCCAATTATGGTTGTTGCATAATCACCTTGGTCATTTGTCCTTTGAGTCTTTGAAAGTTATGTTCCTTGAATTTTTTAAATCTGTGTCTATCACTAGTTTACAATGTAACATGTCAATTAAGTAAGCATTGTAGAACAACTTTTTCATCTAATAATAAAAGATTTGCTTTGCCTTTCTATGTTGTCTTTTCTGATGTTTGGGGCCTTGTGAACATACCTATTGAGGGTGGGTACAGATATTTTATCATCTTTATTGATGATTACTCGAGATACACTTGGATATATCCTATGCATTATAGAGAAGAAGTACCCAAAATTGTGAAAGATTTCCACCACATGGTTTTTACTCAATTTCATGTTGAAGTTCAAATTTTCCAATCGGATAATGCAAAGGAATACTTTCGTCATGACTTAACTGAGTTTTCCTCCTCTCATGGATCTCTTCATAGAAGCTCGTGTGCCAGAACACCACAACAAAATGGTGTTGTCGAAAGGAAGAACCAACATCTACTTGAAGTTGCCCGTAGCATGATGCTTCACATGAATGTTCCTAAACGATTTTGGGTTGATACTTTGATGGCCACAACTTATGTTATCAATCGTATGCCATCACGCCTCTTTCAATACAAGGCCCCACATCAACTTCTTTTTCCTCAATCCCCCTTATTTTCTATTCATTTACGTGTGTTTGGTTGCAAGTGTTTTGTTCATGACCTATCTCCAAACCAGGGTATGTTGGACCCCAAGTCAGTTCTGTGTGTTTTTTTGGGTTATCCATCCTCCCATAAGGGCTACAAATGCTTTAATCCTATCACACATAAGTATTTTGTATTAATAGATGTGCCTTTTTTTGAATTTGAATCCTTCTTTCAAGCCTCTCCTCAGGGGGGGAATAGTGTGGAGGAGGAGAGGCAAGCTCCACAAATTTCTCTCTTCTCTATTCCTGACTCCTCTCCATTCCGCGTCTTCTTGAGGCGCCGTAAGGGCCAACTGAATTCAAAGGCTGTGGAGCAGCTAGAGACTATACATCCAGCACCATCTGACTCCTTGAAGGAAAATCCAGGTACTCTTGTTCCCCTTGACATTACTGAACCTATTGCTATTGATGATTCTACCAATGATCTTGATGTCCCAATTGCTCATAGGAAAGGAGTTAGATAATGTACTACTAAGCATCCAATTTGCTCATTTATTGTCCTATGAAAACATTGCATCCTCATTTCGTGCTTTTCTGACTGCCATTGATTGCATTTCCATTCTCATAAGTGTTGTAGAAGCCTTATTTATACCTATAGACGCAATGAAGGATTAAATTTGTGCTCTACACAAAAACAACACCTGAGAGTTGGTGAATCTTTCCGAAGGCAATGAGCCAGAGGGGTGCAAGTGGGTTCACAGTAAAGCACAAAGTAGATGGGTCGGTTGAGAGGTATAAGGCCAGGTTAGTTGCAAAAGGGTATATACAAGTGTGCGGGGTCGGTTATGCAGAAACATTTGCCCCAGTTGCTAAAGTGAACACTATTC